CCAGGGCGCCGTACCCAGACCCCCGGGGCATCGCGCGCCCCGGCCCATGGGAGCGCCGCTGCATGCCCAGGCTCCCCCAGCCCAGCTGGCTCCAAGCTGGGCGAAGCAGGGCAGGGTCCGAGCTGCACCGTCCCTGCGCTTCGCTGCCACGGGCGCCCTGCTCCAGCCCGTCTCCATCCTTCACGGATCCCCAGCTGGAGCTGGGCGCAGCTTTGGTGGTGCAGGCTTGGGGGCTGGTTCCTCCAAGCCCAAACACACTTGTCCCCCGTGTCCCCTGCTTGGAGGGGCACCTCTCCGCCTGCAGGACCTACTGCTTCCCACGGGACCAGGCCCATAGGCCCCAGCATGTCCTCTCCACACAGCCCCGTCTGGCCCCGCTGCCACCTGCGAGCCCCTTCATCTGTCCTCACCCTCATCTCCCGCTCCTTTCCCCCAAGATGCTCGGCCTCCACCGCCAAGTCCCTGCTCTTCCGGTTCCTGCCCTTCCTGCGCTGGCTGCCCCGCTACCCGGTCAAGGACTGGCTCCTGGGGGACATCATCTCAGGATTCAGCGTGGGCATCATGCACCTGCCCCAGGGTGAGCGGTGTGGCCCCCTCGCCGTGCGCTCCCGCAGGCACCGCTGAGGCTGTTTGGGGGCTCCCTGCAGGGACGGGGGGCCAGGGTGCCCGCGGGGGCCATGGGGCCAGGGTCCAGCCCACTCTAACAATTCTCCCTGCTGCGCTGTGTCTAGGGCTCGCCTACGCGCTGCTGGCTGGGCTGCCGCCCGTCACCGGCCTCTATTCCTCCTTCTACCCCGTCTTCCTCTACTTCTTCTTTGGGACATCCAGACACAACTCTGTGGGTGAGCAGGGGCGGCCAGGGGACCTGCGTGCTCCTACAGGGATGGAGGGGAGGGGGCGAGGGTGAGGGCTGAGCCTTCATCCACGTGGCATTGTTGCACCAACATGCTGGGGGCGGGGGGGGGGAGGTTTTTTTTCCTTTGCCACATCAGTAAGATGGTTGGACAACCCCAGCCGAAGCACTGTGGGTGTGCTACAAGCCCACCCTAGGGGACGGGTGCCCACAGCCTTCAGAGCGGGTCCCTTCGGAAGAGGTCCCCTGCCCACATCTCTCCTGTCTCCAGGTCCCTTTGCTGTCATGTCTGTCATGATCGGGAGCGTGACAGACTCCCTGTTGCCCAGCGAGAATTTTCTGGAGCCCGTGAACGGCACCAACATGACATCAGTTAATGAAATGCGGCGGGATGCTGCCAGAGTGGAGCTGGTGGCCACGCTCACCGTCCTGGTGGGCATCTTCCAGGTACACAGGGCCTGACCCCTTGACAAGGAGCCAAAGGCACTGTGGCCCCGCAGTGGTGCTCTGAGCTGGGCTCCTGGCCCTGCCACCCTGAGCTGCTGGGCTCGTGCTCTCTGCCGGCTGCTTCTCGTTCCAGGTGGCCCTGGGCCTCCTGCAGTTCGGCTTTGTGGTGACCTACCTCTCGGACCCGCTGGTGCGCGGCTACACCACCGCCGCCTCCGTGCACGTCCTCATCTCCCAGCTCAAGTACATCTTTGGCATCTCTCTGGGCGAGCACTCAGGGCCGCTCTCGCTGTTCACGGTGAGTGGGGGGTGCACAGCTGCCGTGGGGTCCCTCCAACTCAGTGGGGTGCACTGAGATCCCCAAAAGCCTGCTGAAGGAAGCATCTGTCTTCACTCTGGTTTATAACCAAGACCCTCCTCGTTACGGACTTGGTGCTCAGAGCCCAGCTCGGTCTGGGCTGTCCCCAAAATGGCTGCATCCCCCTGGGTTGCATCCCCCTGGGATGCTGGGTTTGCTCCAGGATGGGGCTGGTGGCTATGCTTGTGGCCCTCATCTGAGCTGGGGGAGGAGGCAGAAGAGTGTCCGTGGCATTGGCTAGGTCCTGAGCCCATTGTCTCCTGCTGCTACCCTGCTAGACCTTCATCGAAATCTGCCAGAACCTGCCAAAGACCAACGTGGGCACCCTGGTGACAGCCATCATCGCCATGGTGGCCATCTTCATCGTGAAGGAGCTCAACCACAAGTTCTCCGCCAAGCTGCCCATGCCCATCCCCATCGAGCTCATCACGGTACCAAGCCAAATGGCTCCTCACACGGACGCGGTTGGCAAGCACCATGTCCTCAGGGTGTAGCCTGGCCGGTGTCAGTATCGGTGGGACTAGGTCCCTCAGTGAGGGCAACTCTAGGATGGCATGTCCCCCTTCTCCTCTGCACGGTCCCTGCGGGGGAGGCTCTGCCTTTCCCGCTTCAGCCATTCCCGCTTCCCCCCTCAGATTATCATCTCCACCGGCATCTCCTACGGTGTCAACCTGAGCTCCAAGTTCGGCGTCTCCGTGGTGGGTGACATCCCCAGCGGGTGAGTGGAGCTGGGGCGCCAAGGGCAGCTCAGCCGGGGCGCCGTGCCGCCCACTCAGTGCCCCTCTCTAGCTACGTCTCCCTCTCTCGGCTGCAGGTTGAAGCCGCCCATGGCCCCTAACATCAACTACTTTGGGCAGGTGGCGGGCAACGCATTCGCCATTGCTGTGGTGGGCTATGCCATCTGCATCTCCTTGGGCAAGATTTTTGCCTTGAAGCATGGCTACAAAGTGGACAGCAACCAGGTGATGCTCTGATATGCATGGCCCCTTCCCCATGTGATAAAATAAGGATTTTTTTTTCTCATGGCCCTTGGGGGAGGAGAGGCTGGCACTGTGCTCCTGACCCCCAGCTCTGTCCTTACAGGAGCTGATAGCTTTGGGCTTCTGCAACTTCCTGGGTGGCTTTTTCCAGTGTTTCGCCATCAGCTGCTCCATGTCACGGAGCCTGGTGCAGGAGAGCACTGGAGGCAATAGCCAGGTGGGTCAGGGCACCCTCCGCTCCGGCCGGCGCCGCTCGCAGAAGCAGCGGTGCCAGAGGCCTCCCCTGCTGCTGCCTTGCCCGAGGGTGTGCTGGTGCTGTAGCAGCGAGGGGCTGGAGCTGAAGACACCAGGACGCCAAGGTACTCGGCGTGACCCATGCTCACCTCTCACCTCCCGCTCTCCTTGCCAGGTGGCTGCTGTCATTGCGTCCCTGGTCATCTTAGTGACCATCCTAAAGATCGGGGAGCTCTTCCGGGACCTGCCCAAGGTACAGCCCATCTCCACTTGCCCTGTTCCCACATCCCCGGGGCCCAGGCAGCTGGGGAGGGCAGCCTCCGATGGACAGCAGCCCTCTGTGCCCTGTCCCTCCCACCCCATGCACAGCCGTGTTAGCAAAACCCCGTCCCATGGCACATCAACTTGGGAATGCTCTGTTTGGGGCTGCATGCGGCCAGGGGCAGCCCCTGCTCTGCTTGTGGTGCCTGGCATTGCGGGAGCGGGACATGGAGAAGTCCCAGGACCGGCCCTCTCCATCCTCTCAGCTCCAGGAATTTCTCTCCCAGGCCATCCTAGCTGCTATCATCATCGTTAACCTCAAGGGCATGTTCAAGCAGTTTGCCGACTTCCGCACGCTCTGGAAGACCAACAGGGTTGACCTGGTAAGGTGCAGGGACTGCACAGGCTGTCTCCCCCGGGGTTGGGGCCACCGGGTTGTGCTGGCACTGCTGGCGCAGGGCTTGCTTTCTCCCTCCTCCGTGGGGCGCGCACAGTGCGCCAGTGCTGGCGAGGAGGCCGAGCACAGTTGGGCTGTGTCACCCCCTCCAGATGGTTTGGATCGTGACGTTTGTGGCCACCCTCCTGCTCAACTTGGACCTGGGCCTAGCAGTCTCAGTGGCCTTCGCACTGCTCACCGTCATCTTCCAGACCCAGCTGTAAGTAGCCCCAGGGCCAGGGGGGGCCAGGGAAGCTTGTCCTGGGGCATGCGAGCATGGGGGTGTACTGGGACTGCTTGGGAGGAGGCGTTTGGGCACTGCTTCCCAAGGGGAGGATGAAGCCACCAGCAATCTCAGCTCTTCCCTCTTCTCCCCGCAGGCCTCACTACTCCATCCTGGGGCATATTTCTGACACAGATATCTACAGGGACGTAGCCGAATACAAGAAGGTAAAAACACCAAGGCGCTGGGGGCGCATGAGAAGTTGTTCCTGCAGGAGGCCAGGGCAGCTTGGAGTACCTGCAGGGGCTTGACGCTGCGAGGAGATGACCTGGGGGGTGTTTTGGGAGAAGTCAGGGGAGACCAGAGCTGGGGGCAGAGGAAAGGGCAGCATTCCTCACGTCCCCAGAGGTATAACACCCTCCCTGTCTCCCCCAGGCTCAGGAAGTCCCTGGTGTGAAAATTTTCCGCTCCTCCTCCACCATCTATTTTGCCAATGCGGAGCTATACACCGAGGCCCTGAAGAAGAAGGTAGAGGAGATGTGAGGTCCCTGGGGCACTGCAGGCGGGTGCCGTACCCTGTTCCCCACTACCCTGCCCGTGGGAAGCTTCAGTCCTGGGCATCTGGCTGCACTCCGCCTGCCCCGTCCCTCTTCTGCTGCTGTGGCCAGGTCCCAGAGGAGCTCCCCGGTGGCACACGGGACCGCCTGGGCCTGGGAGGGAGACAGGGGCTGAGTGCCCCCTGGGAGATCTCCCATGGGGTGGCAGCAGTGGACTGGGAATGGGCTGTGTTGTTTTGCAGAGCGGTGTCAATGTGGACCGCCTGATTGAGAAGAAGAAGAAAGCCCTCAAGAAGCTGAAGAAACAGCAGAAGCAAGCTGAGAAGGAGAAGGCAAAGAGGCAAAAGGTGCTTCCCAGGGCTGGAGCTGTTGGGGCCCTCTGCCCGGCTCCCTCTCTGAGCTCTGGGGTCAGGTGTCCCGGAAATCTCCATGGGCTCCCAGGAACTGCTCCCACTGCTGGCTGGGGCATGTGCTGGGGCTGGGCTGCCAGGTGAGGAGTGGAAAGGGAGGCAGGGCTGTGATGCCCGAGCTGTGTCCCGAGGTCAGCAGGTGAGGCCAAGGCCATTAATGATTACATGGGAGGAGCCGGTGAGTCATTAATAGTTGGCAAGTTAATCATCAAAACAGAGAGCAACAGCTAATGGGTCTGACTTCAGGGAAAGTCATTAGTAGGAGGCCATGAGCTCCCATGTGTCAGCAACAGGGAGAGCCAGGTCAGCGCGCGGTTGTTAAAACCAGCAAACCCAGAGAGGGCTGCCAGTGTCGAAAGCAGGATGCAGGTGGGAGGGATGCACCTGCCACTGGACATCACCCACTGCCCTAACTGTAATGCAGCCAAAGCTCCTCTCCAGGCCCACCTGCATTTTAGGGAACGAAAGACAAGAGGGGGGACAATTTCCAGCCTGCTGGCCTAGCCTGGTATGCTGTCAGCTCCCACACAGTGAGGCTGGGTCTCCTTCCCCCCAGGATATGGAGAATGGGCCGGGCATTGCGGTGATCGAGCTGAGCCGGGACGCGGCGGAGGGCAGCACACCTGCTGAGCCCACTCTGCGCTCCCTGGGCCTCCCTGTGCCCGACTTCCACACCGTCATCCTGGACTTCAGCCCTGTCAACTTCATGGACACTGTCTCCATAAAGATCCTGAAGAACGTAAGGGAAGGGCTTGGGGAGCAGGGAAGACTCTAACTGGCAATCTTGCAAAAAGCTTCCCAAGTGCCCCATTAGGGGTAGTGGGATGGCCACTGTCCAACCCATTTCCCACGCGCGCAGGGCAGCCCGACACCTGTCCATGTGTTTGCCATCATTTGCAGATCTTCAGGGATTTCCGAGAGATAGAAGTGGACGTCTTCATTGCTGGCTGCCCAGGTGAGGAGGCCTTGCAGGATCATCAGCCCTCATGGGGCAAGGCCACCCCTTTAGAAGGACATGGCTGAGTGCTTGGTGGCTCACTGTGGCCTCCCCAACTCCAGGTGTCCCTTTTCCCAGAATTTCCCAAAGGGATGCAGCTCCTGGCTGATGCAGGGCAGCTACAGGGCCCTCCTGAGCCCTGGGGTGGCCCTTCCCCAGCCTGGTCCCACCATGGGGTCATCTGGCTTGGGGACGCATCTGGAGTCCCATGGCCCCAGTGTAGCGTGTGCCCTTGCAAGGACACTCGCTGGGGTGGCAATTGCCACCACAGAGCAGGGAGAAGCTGGTTGGGGTGGGATGGGGGCGGGGGCCACGATGCCACCTTGGTGGGCACTTCTCCCTCCACACAGCATCCGTCATCACCCAGCTGGAGAAGGGCAACTTCTTCAGCCAGACCATCACCAAGCACCACTTCTTCACTTCGGTGCACGACGCCGTGGTCCATGTCACTGGGCAGCGGGAGGAGGCCCTGGTAAGCACCGGACTCCCCGCTAGCCGGGACACAGCCATCCTTGCCTTCCTCCATGTGTCTCCTGGGGGCTGCACTGGGAGCGCGTCCATGGGCTTGCATGGGAGAGGCGGGTTCCCTGGGCGCGAGCCGCTGGGGACCTTGCTGGGTCGCGCCCTCACTCCTTGCCGCGGGGTCTGTGGGGCTGGGCGCACCAGCGGAGACCTGGGGTGCTGCTTGGAGGGGTTGAGCCGGACTGACCTCTCGCTGCCCGGCTCCATAGGTGTGCTCCAGCACCAAAATGTAGCCCCACGAGAGGGGGACGTTGGAGGCCCACCTCCAAGGCAGGTTTCCAGAGGACGTTCAAGGACCAGTAACGCAGGACCTCCCGCTGTGGGACTCCTCTGAAGACACGAGCTCTCCTCCTGCCGAGTGCCACTCGGGTGCCTGGAGACCTCCTGCCCTCAGCCAGCCCCATCGGACGTCCGGTGAAGCTGGCCAGCTACCTCAGACACAAGCCCGTCCGTAAGGATCTGCCCTGGCACCAGGCCCACCAGAGCCCCCGGCGCAGCTCCTTGTCCCCCGGGACCAGGCTGGGATGCCCTCCTGGTGATGGCAGCCCCGGGGTCGAGCTGTTGCAGGGAGATGGTGCCAATTTTTGGACCCCAGAGGAGGAGGAGGAGGAGGAGGAGGAAGGCCCTCGCTGGTCGTGCCCCTGGCTGGCTGCCTGCCCAAGCTGGTGTGGGGCTGTCCAGAGGCGCGTTTGCCCTCTCTCTGCATCGGTTGTCAGCATGGCTAAAATACTGCAGTGTTTCTGAGCATTAATTTTAGAGCAGCATGTGACTGATGAATATTTCTCAATAAACGTGTCCTCGGCCAAGATATGTTTTTGCCTGTTGTTAATGATTGGCGCTCTCTGGCCAGAGTCTGCGTTTCCATATGAATATTATCGGATGATACAGTTAGGTTGACTCTTAACTACCGTGCCCCTTTGGCCCTTTTTTTGCCCCGGTCCCGGACACTCTTTGCACTCCTTTGGCGTCATTCGAAGACCTGCGAGGTGGAAGGAGGCCCGGCGTTGGAGAGGGTCACTGGTGAGCCGCCGGGCACGGGAGCCGGAGCAGCATGGGGGAGCGGGGTGACTGGCCCCGGGCAGGCGGCTCCCAGACCCCGACAAGGTCCCCGTCCTT